GTCGTAGATATCGTGGTTTTGGTCATCGCTTGAGTTGCCTTTTGTGGACAAAAGCCGTGACTTATGGCAACCGATAAGCGATTGTCTCACTATTGCTGCACTTCTTCGGCAAATGAATTGCATTTCACTTCAATTTAATCTTTAAATCAATGATTGTTTCAAAATCTCATTAAAAACACAATATTTGACTAAAACTTATGATTCGCTCACAAATGACGTCCAAAATAAGTGCCGGCAAAACGGTATCGACTTACTCCTATAACTTGTGATTCACTTTTATTTGACTACAATTTGATTGCTATTAACAAACAATACATTCATTTCTTAAACAAATCTTTTTATTAAAGATAGGATATAAGAGAAGACACTCGACGTAGGGATCAATTCTTGACGATGTGATCGATTCGATGCTCTTTAGGCCACCAAAAAGGTTTAGAGCATCGGATGGTTAGTCCGCTTTCACTCAAAGATAATTTATCGGTTTTAAGGCAATCCTCGAACCGAAGAAGTGCTAAACCATAAACACCTGAATTGTTCCTGAATTTGCCCACATTTTTGGATTCATTTGTTGTGATGTTTTGAATGGCAATACTTTCTGGCAGTTCTTTGTCGCCAATGAATTCTATAGGCATTAGGCGTTTGCGAATGACTCCCGTGTGGTATATCAGAATTTGCCCACATTTTTGGATTCATTTGTTGTGATGTTTTGAATGGCAATACTTTCTGGCAGTTCTTTGTCGCCAATGAATTCTATAGGCATTAGGCGTTTGCGAATGACTCCCGTGTGGTATATCCGTGCCGTCAACTCCTGTCCCACATAACAACCTATAAGACAATTGCAATGATTAGTGATTACAAGAGAAATAATATCATTCAAAATGTGAGAAGTGATGAAAACCTTTATGAAAACTGATTCCGTGGAGAAAATCTCCGTTACATTCGAGTGGAAAACAGGACTCAATCGGGAAGTCTTTCACTCCTTCGCCGACACCCAAACGATACCTATATTTGTCGTAATTATCACTATTTGTTTCCTTATATTCTATGGACTGTGAGTTCAGAAAGTTTTTAATGTCTTCTTTGACTTTGTTTTCATTACCACTACTTTTATTGTTAACTAAAAGCCGAAAACCAATTTCTTTAAGCCGCGGATCTCTAACTGCAATCAGATCTTTGGTATTTAATGTCTCAAAACTAGTCTCGCATTCAGACAATTGTTTGACAGTTTGGTCGTCAAAATGGCGGACATCGGGAAAGAGAGACCAAACCTCAAAGTCGTTTCTCACATCGATATCGACTTTTCGGCGAATTCTATACGACTTCAAGAATTTCGTGATTGAATCCAATAATTGGGAATCAATTTCAATAAACAGTTGTTTTGTTTCATTGCTATTGTAATCGTATTTATAAACAAAGACATCGGTTATGACTCTTCCGGATGTGTTTAACATAAAAGAATGGATGCAATCGTGGGTTACACTCGTCTCAAGAGTTGGACTCAAATGCCTTAAATCGTTGGTCACTAAACCTATCAATGAGTGAATGCAATGACAATTAGAGACACAGTGTTGTCAACGGATCCGATCGATGGCTCAAACCCTGGATGTAATCGTAAGAATCGATTCCTTTGACACCAATTAATTTCCTATCGTTTAGTTTAGTCAACAAATACGATATGCTCTGCCTTTGTGTCCAACACATGGCTTTCGTTGCCATCAATCGCTTCCATGTCCTCAACGATAATAACGCAGACATTGTTTGACAATCACTTCAATACGAAAATCATTTATAAATTGTGTTTACATTTAGTTTTCAAAAACTGACGCAAACTTTCACTAACTCTACAAAAACAACGATTTGTTTCAATGTTTTCCTCCAAACAGTAACTCTAATAAAGGCAT